GCACCACCAGGGCTCCTTGGGTGGGCACAGTGGTATAATATCCCTGGTTTCCTCTCTTGGTGGCTTAGACTCAACAAGGCTGGGCAGTAGTGAAACCTCAGCAACCTCTTTCCTATATGCGGTGGCCATTTGTTGATTTGGTAGCTGGACTCCTTCCTTAGTTTGGGGGAATTTCCACCACATGAGTCTTTGTGCGAGGCAGAGCCCACTTCCCCTCCAGGAGCCAAGGAAGTCAGAGCTGGATTCTCCAACTCTACTGAGGCCAGAGTGTGGCCATGTGGCCCCAGCTCAGTCTGTGAGCCTCATTCACCTGTTCTCCGGAGTGGCGATGGGACAAGGCTTTCTGGAATTGCTTGCTGAAACCTCTGGATTCTGGGACAGTTGTACCAGAGACTGGCTTAGTCCTGACTGTTTCTGCTAGCCTGCCAGCAATTTTGTGAGCTGCCGAACATCTTTTCTTCTTCTTTGAGGATAAACTGTTCTGTATTTTATTTTTCCCTTAATTTTTTATGTATTCCCTTTCTCCCTTTCTAGCTCTCTCTCCCTTTCTATCTCTCTCTCCCCCTTTTTCCTCTCTCTCACTCTTTCTTTCTTTCTTCTTCTTTCTTGGTTTATTGAACTACCTGTGATCTAGTTGCAGACATCATGAGTCTGTACCCTGATGTACCTCCAACACAATCACTATGCAATCATGCCCCAAATCTTTTCAATACATGTCCATTCTGCCATGTCAGCTAGAGGTGGTTTCTATTGCTTGTAGCTAAGAGCCCTGATGGATACATCCCTTGTCTGGTGATAAAGTATGATGTGATAGAAAGAGTAAGTGTTTGGGGACAAGACAGACCCAAGTTGAAAATCCCTGTTCTGGCTCTAACTGATTCTGTGCGCTCGGGCAAGTCATTTATCTCTCCAAATCTCTCTTTTCTTGTCTAGGTAGCAGGCTTAATAGCCACCTTGCAAAGCTGTTGTGGAAAATGTGGCATTATATGTGCCAGGCACGTAGCACAGTGCTGGGCCCATAATAGATGCCTAATAAATATTTGTTGCGTGAACTACTGGATGATTAAATGCCCTATATCAGTGGTTCTCAGACTTGGCTGCACACTAGAGCTACAGGTTAGCTTTTAAAAATCCCCATGCCAGGTTTCACCTCAGACCAGTTACATCAGAATACCCAGGCACCAATATTTTTTCAAGTTCTCCATGGGGGGTAAGATGCAGGCTAGTTTGGAATGTGATCTCTTTAAGCCTTGATGGCCTTCTCAGTCAAACTAGAGAAAACAGTAGAAACTTCACAGGGAGGTTGTGAAATGTTGGCAATGTATGGACCCAGCACGTATCAGGTTTCACTAAATGTCAGCTTCCAATCTCCTGTGCTTGTCTGTAGTTAGGTGCAGCCTTCTGTGTAGGGAAAGTAGACACTGAACTTCATGGAGAGTTCTGCCGTACACTGGAATTCCCCTTCCACCCATTTGAACTTGTGCCCTAAGCTATAGATTTGAAGAACCTCATGGAAATACAACCCATGACGTTATAGACACATAGACTTTTGTTTTTAATCACTGTTTGAAAGATCACTGAGTTCAACCCTCTCCAGTTAAGATGCGGAAACAAGCTCCAAATGAGCGAAAGTGGCTCACTAAGGACCCAGAGAGGGTGATTTCCTACATTTGTGGGTCTCCTCTAAGTATGAAATAGAAGATGCTTTGACAAATTACCAGTGTTCAGTTTTTTTTTTTTTTCCTTTTTTAACCCACATTATCCTTACTATTTGAAAAAATCTAAGAGGCAGATTATTGAACCAGTTATAACCAAAGTGGTGGTGGGGGGGGGGGGCAGATAAAGGCGGGTACTTCCTACCTCAAACTCAAAGTTCATTGTAGAATGCTTTGGAATAGTTTTAATGACACGTTTGTGTGCATTTCCAGCTGTGTGGACAGTCAAGCCATGTCATTTTCTCTCCATCATGTCTTGTTGGAAAAAGGACAGGAATTAATTGGGACTGGAGTAATCTTATGGAAACATTTCCCAGAATGGGAATAACTAGAGGGTGGCCAACTTGAAAGTGAGCCTCATTCATGTTTGTGGTCTCATTACCCCTGCCCCCACCCCCAACCCAGGCTTTGTACTGCTGTTGCACAGAGAAGGCACTCCACAAATTTGACAAACAGACCACCTAGATGTCTGCATCCCTCTCTCATCCCCCACAATCACCTACAATCACCCAATTCCCCATGCCCATCTTATGTCGATTTCTTCCCTCTAAGCATGAGAGATGTTCAAATCTGATTTTCTGACATTGTCAAAGTCAAGGAACTGGGCTGACCTTGTCCTCCTTTGGTTCCTCTGGCCACGTTTCTTTTTGTAGAGGGGGCAGTGGGAGGGTAGGAGGAGGCTGCAACAAACAACCCCACACCTAAAATCTGAGCTAGGCCCAAGGTGAAGAGAAGAGCTCTATAGTCAGTATAACTTGGTAAAGAGTTGGATAACCCTTCTTCCCCTTCCCAAACTTTCCCCTCAAATTCCCAAAGTACGTCCCACCAAGTTTTCAGGATGCCTGAAATTCCCACCAGGAAGCAGTAGTATTCCTTCCAGTTGGAGGGCTATATCTCTGGAAGGTCCTTGTTCAGACAAAAACGGGTCATGAGACAGAAAAAAGCCTTGGACTTAGAGACAGAAGACTTGCATGCCAGGCCAGGCAAGAGACGGAGGACAGAAAACTGAGCCATGGAGCACTCAAGACAATTTTAACCTCTTGGGCAATTTTGCCCAAGGTTTTAATTGAGCTAGTTTCCCATCATCCTGACCCACACAGACTTTATTCTCCAATCCTCCTTCTGTATCCTTTACCCCAAATCCTAAACCAGATATCCCATAAGCAGAGAGGTTTTAGGAATCATAATGCTCTTGAGTAGAAATCAGAGAACATAATCAATTAGAGGTAAGTTAATACATGCTAATCTTTAATTTGTGCATAAAATACAGAGAGGCTTTCTGTTTTTATGAGATGATTATGTTACTGATTCATATTTGTCTGAGCCTGAATGGTTTAAAAAACAAGCACTTCTATATACATGATCTCACACACCCCATCATGTGGGCAGAGTCTGTGTTGTTGGATTATTGGTATCTCTACAGTTTTATGGATGAGAAAGCTGAAGCTCAGAGAGGCCCAAGGTCACCAAAAACAGTTGCCATCAAGTTGATTCCGACTCAGGGCGACCCCATATGTGTCAGAGTAGAACTGAGCTCCAGAAGGTTTTCAATGGCTGACTATTTGGAAGTAGATCTCCAGATCTATCTTCTGAGGTACCTCTGCTTAGACTTGAACCCCCATCCTTTCAGTTAGGAGGGGTGGACTTGAACCTCCAACCTTTCAGTTAGCAGCTGAGCTTGTTGACCGTTTGCACCATCCAGGGACTCTTCCAAGGTCACAGTGGGTAAGTAAAAGAGCTTGGAATTGGGGTTTAAGTCCAGGGCTCAAATCCCGTGAGCCTTCTCAGTTTACTTTGGGGGTCTATTCTACTGGACTTTCCATACTCTGGGCCTCTTTGTCCCATCAGAGGCAGATTTCACAAAAGAGAGCTTTCAGAAATTCAGCAAAGCTTAACTCCAAATGAACCAGGAGATGTTGGGGCTGGTGGACCCTAAAGACAAGGTTCTTGGGAAGCCTACTGGGTGGGTACCTGATGCTGCCCAGAAGACGTAATGTAGGCAAGTGTGAAATGAGAAAATGGAACAGAAAAAAAAAAATGTCTTGTGTTCACCTGCTCAACTAATCACAAACATTGCTGGGTACCGAGGGAAATTCTAGAAATATGAAACTCTGGATTTGTGCCCTGAGGAACTTCCAGTTCATCTGGGGCCATCTGAGGTCTGGGGCTGCCTGGACTGGGAAACATGCTCCTGTGCAGAGATCAGTGAGGTCCTTTCTTCCTGATTTTGTCTGAGGGATCCCTGGAGGTGCAAATGCTATGAACAAGATCTTCCTAGGAACTCCCATGGATTTTTTTAAGTTCCAGAAGTGGCAAGAGGTCTGTAGTCCTGTGTCCAAGGCACCTGTTTATGACTGGCTAATGGGACTGCCCTGGAAGAGTCCAGCTGAGGTGGAACTGTGGTTTCAGTGGGCGGTTGGAAGGGAAGGGCAGGAGGTTTGTGGCCAGTAATGGTAGTGGTCAAAGAATGTCTTGTAGAGTTTGGTCACTCATGTGCAGCTCTCTGGCTGCTCCTTTTCAGCAGTCTCACCCACACTGCCTCTGTCTTCCCATTCATACCTCTCTTCCTTTGTGCCTCTTTCCTTGGATTCTTTTTTTCCTTCTAATTTATTTTTTTTATTGTACTTTAGATGAAGGTTTACAGAACAAATAGTTTCTCATTAAACAGTCAGTACACATATTGTTTTATGAGATTGGTTAACAACCCCACGACAGGTCAACACTCTCCCTTCTCAACCTTGGAGGACCTTTTTTTTTTTAGTGAAAATATACATAGCCAAAATTACATCATTTCAAAAGTTTCTACATGTACAATTCAGTGACATTGATTACATTCTTCCAGTTGTGCTGCTATTCTCACCATCCTTTTCCGAATTATTCTATCACCATTATCTTCAACTTACTGCCCCTTAGGCTTCCCATTAAGCCTTTAGAGTTGCTGCTGTCAATTTGATCTCACATAGATAATTATTTTATTTTGTACCTTTAGATGAAGGTTTACAGAGCAAATAATTTCTCATTAAACAGTACACATATTGTCCTATGACAATGTTTGACAATCCCACGGCATGTCAACACTCTCCCTTCTCAGCCTTGGGTTCCCTACCACCAGCTTTCCTGTCCCCTCCTGCCTTCTAGTCCTTGTCCCTGGACTGGTGTGCCTCATTAGTCCAGTTTTGTTTTATGAGGCTGTCCAATCCCTGGGTGAACGGTGAACCTCGGGAGTGATTTCACTACTGAGCTTAAATGGCGTCCGGGGGCCATACTCTCAGGGTTTCTCCAGTCTGTCAGGCCAGTAAATCTGGTCCTTTTCTGTGAGTTAGAATTTTGTTCTACATCCTAAGAGAAGAACATTTTCAACGGAAAGTGGTGAATATGAAATGTCAGCTCAATATCCACCTTAAAAGGACAAAGTTTTGGAGGACGCTTCAACCAACAAGACTTCACCAAGGTGGGTATTTACATATCTGGACCTTCAAAGTTGGACTGTTGGCATCTTGAGGGTGGCAGCTCATCTCACTAATCTTTGTATCCCACAAATAAATGCTTAGTGCAGAGGGTAGCACTTATTATATTCATTCCCTCAATAAAATATTTACTGAATAAACATTCATGTGTCAGGAACTGGAGCTACCATACAGAACATGTCTCCAATCTAGTGGAGGGTTTTTAGGATCCAGATTTTGTTGTGACTGTGGCTCTTGGAGGGTGTGGTGACTTTTGTTCTGCAGACAGTCTCGTTCAGCAGTCACTGAAGAATACAGAGCCAACCACCTCCACAGTGAGCTAATCAGCTGGGACAACCCTTCAGTCAGGGAGGGGAGAGACCATCTTGCCAGCAACTTGCATCGGTATAATTATTACACACACTGAGCTTTAGCCCTTCATAAAGTCTTGAAGGATGCCCCTTTCTGGGAATCCTTCTATGTTTTAGTACCTTCTGAACCAACCGATGATAAGAAATCCTTGTCTAAGTGAATGAATAAATGAATGAATGAATGATGAACTCAGAATCCAAGAAATGTTTTTCTGAATAGCCATATAAAATTCCCAGCTGGAAAGCCACTTTTCCCCAGATGAGGGGATATGTAGGACTCACTTGTATAATGTATTTCTTTCACCCCTACTCCTGCAGTGCCAGCATCCCCACTGTTGTGCCCTTCTGCAGTATTCCTTCCTGCCTCACTTCTCCTTACTCCCACTCCAGCTCCACTGTCCACCTCGTCTACCACCAAACTCCCCTTCAATAGAAGGAGGCACCCTCATAGTTGAAGGCCCCTGGGGAGTGTGGGGTAGGGATAGGGCTGGGCACCTGCTGCTTGCAGAGCCAGAACTGCCGGAGTAGACTCTTGAGGTGTCTGCGGAACTTGACCCCGACGAAGACATAAAGCACAGGGTTGAAGCAGCAGTGGGAGAAGGCAACCTTGTTGCAGACTTGCACAGCATACTCCAGCTGCTGGATGACCTCACAGCTCTGAATGATCCTAAGTTGCTGCAGTGTCTTCAGAAACAAAACCAAGTTGTATGGAGCCCAGCTGAGGAAGTATGCCACCACGATGGTGAAAATTAGCCTGACCGTCCTGTGGTGCCGTTTGGATCGTGAGCGCAACAGGGTTCTGAGAATCTCCACGTAGCAGAACAGGATAATCCCCAAGGAGAGCAGAAAGAAGATGTTGTGCTGGTAGACTGAGGCTAGGAACCATCTGGGTTCTGAATATTCACACTGCCCAGAGATCACCTCATGGGAGATGGCATCGGGAATGGAAGACAGGATGCTGGCTGCCCATATGGCTATAGTCGCCCACACACGACAGCGAAGCGTGTGGACGCGCAGGGTTGACAGGGGGCTCACCACAGACAGGTAGCGGTAGATGGTCATGATGGTCAGGAAGATGATGCTGCTGTAGAGGCTGACAGAGAAGAACAAATTGAGAAGCTTACAGAGGAATTCTCCCAGCACCCACTTCCAGTAGTATGCCGAGAGCCACACAGGCAGTAGGGAAGAGAAAATCAGGTCTGAGAGGCACAGGTTGAGGATAAAGACATTGGTGAGAGACTCCAGGCTCTCATACTTCATCAAGATCCACAACACCAGGCCATTGCCCACAAGACTAAGGAGAAACACCAGGCAGTATAGGATGGTGGTGATGCGGGTGGCAAAGACAAAGGTCTCGCTCTCACACAGAAAGCTTGTGAACTCATAATCAAAGGCGGTGGTGAATTCTGTGATGCCTGAGGACTCCATCTGGACCAGGTGGCAAGGACGTTGAGAGCATCTGAAACGATAGAGACATGGAGTTTAAAGCCATGTGATTAGAACAGAGATCAATAGGACTCATACTACAAAAAAAGTGTGGTCTATGGACCAGCTGCCAGTTGGTGAACTGTTTGTAACAAGATTAGAGACTTGTGTCATAACATAAAGTCGCTAAGCATACTGTTTAGTTTTGCTAGCATTTTTTTTTCTTTTTCATAGCAAGATTTCTTGATGAAGGAAGCACTGCATTAATTTACATTCTATCACAAGCTCCTTTCCTTATTGCGGACTGGCGCTTGAGCAGCACTAAACTACACCAATCTCTCAGAAGGTGTAGCGGAAAGAGCAGTGAATTTGGGTTCTGATACTTGAGACAAAATTTGGGCCCCACTGAGATCAGAAGAACTAGATGGTGCCCGGCTACCACAATGACTGCCCTGACAGGGAACACAGCAGAGAGTTCCTGATGGAGCAGGAGAAAAGTGGGGTGCAGAACTCAAATTCTAGTAAAAATACCAGACTTAATGGTTTGATTGAGACTTGAAGGACCCTGGAAGATGTGGCCCCCAGGCTCTCTGTTAGCCCAAAACTTAAACCATTCCTGAGGCCAACTCTTCAGACAAAGATTAGACTGGACTTTAGGACATGATACTCGTGAAGAGTGTGCTTCTTAGCTCAAGTAGATACATGAGATTAAATGAGCAGCTCTTGTCCGGAGGTGAGATGAGAAGGCAGAGAGGGTCATGACCTGGTTGAATGGACATGGGAAATCTGGGGTGGAAAGGAAGAGTTGCTGTCACAGCATAGGGAGAGCAAGTAGGGTCATAGAACAAAGTATGTATAAATTTTTTGTATGAGAGACTAACTGGAATTGTAAACTTTCACTTAAAACACAAAATTAAAAAAAAATTTGGGCCCCATTACTGTGCTCTTGATCTGGCCATTTAACCTTTCTGTACCTTATAAAATAGGGCTAATGATTTCAGAGTCATTCCTTCATTTATTCAGCAAACATCTAGTGAGCCTGTACTATATCAGGAACCTTTCTAGGCACTGAGAATACTAGCATGAATGAGACAGGCAAGGCTTCTGCTCTCACGGAGCTTAAATTTCATTGGTCAGGGGAGAGGGCAAATAAACAAAAGAAATCCAAGCAGTGAAGGGTATGGAGAATGACTGGGTAGAACTATGCTAGCTAGGGTAGTCAGGGAAGGCCTTTCTGAGAAAGGACACTGAGTTGAGAAATGCAAGATGAGAAAGAACCCAAGCATGGGTTGGGGGAGAGCATTTCAGATAGCAGATACCGCTAATGCAAAGATGCTGAGTCTGGAAGGAGGTTGGGATACCAAATCTGGGGAACACTTTGGTTGGCCCATAAATAACACTGGAAAGCCATGATATAAAATAACTTTGGAGAGGTAGGCAGGAGCCAGGTGACCCTAGGGCTAGTCAGAAAACTGAAACCAAACCTGTGGCCATCAAGTTGTTTCTGACTCATAGCAACACCACAGGGCAGAGTAGAACTCCTCCATAGGGTTTCCAAGGCTGTAAATCTTTATGAAAGCGGACTGCCACATCTTTCTCCCACGGAGCCGCTGGTGAGTTTGTACTGCTGACCTTTCAGTTAGTGGCCAAGCACTAAACCGCTGCACCACCATGGCTCCTTTCTAGACTTGGTAGGCTATGGTAAATACAAAGGGAAGCTATGTCCGTTGGATCGTCTGGGAAGCAGTTGTTGGGACAGAGGTAGAAGTACAAGAAGTGCAAGAGGTAGAAGTACAAGGCATATTTTGGGGAATAATGCCTGTGAAAAATAAAAAGGGGTGGAAGCAGGATTGGACAGAACGATCTCAGACTGGGAGTCAGGATTGACAAAGATCTGGCTACCCAAACACAGAGCTCCAGAGCAGATTGCCTCCTTCCTTTCCTTCATTTTCCTTCATCCCAACCATCCTTTCCTTCCTTACATAAAGTGCAGAAATCCTGATGGCAGAATTGTATCAGGGAACCTGCTGTCCCTTTAAAAAATAAGAAACACAAGTGGACAATAAACATACAAAAGCTTGCATCCTCTCTAGGAATCAAAAGAATACAAAATAAAGCAAACATACATATATTTTTGACTATCCTTTGTTTCGATCTCTGGAGACACCGATTGACTTGATTACATAAAATAGAATAATTTTAGATCTCATTATTATTCTTTGTATCCAAGCCTAGATAAATGACACATTACATAAAGAAGGTAAACAATTCAAATGACAATCAACTTTTAAGCAGAAACAATGGAAGCTAAAGGACAGTGGAACACCTCTTTAATGTGCTCAAAGGAAAATACCTGCCAATCTATAATTTTAAAACATGCTTCAAGAATGAAGGCAAAATAAAGGTATTTTCAGAGAAAAGAAAACTAAGAGAACTTACCACTAGTAGAAGTGCACTAAAGGAGCCTTAGTGATGCAGTGACTAAGCACTCAGCTGCTAACAGAAAGATCAGTGGTTTGAACCCACCAGCGGCTCCATGGGAGAAAGATGTAGCAGTCCGCTTCCGTAAAGCTTACAGCCTTGGAAACCCTATGGGGAAGTTCTACTCTGTCCTGTAGGGTCACTATCAGTCAGAATCGGCTTGATGGCAACAGGTCTGGTTTTTGGTGTTTTTACAAGTGTACTATAAGAAAGGCTCAGAGAAGTTCAAATGAAGAGAAATAATACCAGCTGGAAACTCAAATCTTCAGGAAGGATAAAAGAGCACTGGAAATGTAGAAAAGGAAATAAATATAAAACATTATTATTTTAAATTTCTTTAAAATATTTGAGAGTATTTAAAGCAAAAATGATAAAATCGTATTGCGGGATTTATAACATATAATACACGTGACAACTATAACATAAAGGATTAGGGGGTGGTAAACAGACTAACATGATTGCACAATTTCTACATTTTATGTGAAGCAGTACAATATTTACTCCAAGTTGACTGTAAAAAAAAAAAAAGTTAAGATTTTATTATAATCTCTGGATCAATGACTGAAAAATAATGCAAAAAAGTATAGCCAAAAAGCCAATGGATAATTAAAATGGAATTCTAAAAAAAATTCAAATAGTTAAAAAGAAGGCAGGAGGGGAAAAAAGCAGAGCTTAACAAAACAGAGAATGAGCAAGATAGAATCAGAACAACAACAAAAATTGATTGCTTGGAAATTAAAAAAAAAAAGGTAAAACCCTAGCTAGCTAGATTAATTAATTGATTGAGAACAAAAAGAGACAAGCACAAGTTGCCAATAGCATGTATGGAAGAAGGATTATTACCACAGTGAAATGAACAAGTTTCTTTAAAAATTTAACCTACCAAAATTGACATGAGATGATACAAAAATCTGTATAGTCTTATAGTTATTATGTTGTTGTTAGATGCCGTTGAGTTGGTTCCGACTCATAGCGACACTATGTACAACAGAATGAAACACTGCCTGGTCCTGGGCCATCCTCACAATCGTTGGTACACTTGAGCTCTTTGTTGCAGCCACTGTGTCAATCCATCTTATTGAGGGTCTTCCTCTTTTTCGCTGACCCTGTACTTTACCAAGCATGATATCCTTCTCCAGGGACTGATCCCTCCTGACAACATGTCCAAAGTATGTAAGAAGTAATCTCGCCATCCTTGCATCTAAGGAGCATTCTGGTTGTACTTCTTCCAAGAAAGACCTGTCTACTCTTTTGGCAGTCCGTGGTATGTTCAATATTCTTCGTCAACACCACAACTCAAGGCGTCAATTCTTCTTTGGTCTTCCTAATTCATTGTCCAGCTTTTGGATGCATATGATGCGATTGAAACTAACTATATTTAAACTAACTATATATATTATTATAGAAACTAACTATAGCAAATCTTTCCACAAAGAAAACTCCAGAACCTGATGCCTTTTCTAGTGAATTCTACCAAACATTTCATGAAAAATAATACCAATTCTACACAAACTATTTCTGAGATAGAGAAGGATGGCTTACTTTCCAACTTGTTTTATGAGGCCAGCAAAACCCTTTTACCAAAACCAGGTAAAAACATTGAAATAAAACTACAGACCAATAATCCTTACAAACACAGACACAAAATCTTTAACAAAATATTAGCAAATTAAATTTACCAATATATATAAACAGAATAATAAATCACAACCAAGTGTGTTTATTCTAGAAATGTGAGGTTGGTTTAACGTTCAAACATCAATCAATTTAAATCACCATATTAACGGAATAAAAGGAAAACTAGTTACCTTTTCAATAAATGCAAGAAGAGCATGCTAATGTTCAATACCCATTCATGACATAAACTCTCAGAAAACTAGAAATAAAAGGAATATAAGACATCTAGAAAAACTTTTGCAATTTTCTGTTTCTTAATAATTTACTCAAAATTTCAGAGACATTCAAGTTTTGGGCCTGGGAGGCCCTGAGGATACAAAGGATGACGCTAAACTCCAGATGTCTCTGAGTTACATAGCAGGGGTTTGGCTCTCTTTTCCTGTCATTCTCTTCCTCCTCAACTCCATGGCCCACCTCAACTCTAAGGGAGTGAATTTAGCTTTCTGATCACAATGTAATTTGGATTGAGAGACACTCTCTTAAATCATACAATCACCAATAATAACAGGGCCTACACAAAGCTCTGTCACCAAGTAAATCTCTCCACTTCTTTAGCAGGAAGAAAGGAAAAAACAAACAAACATTGTATAAGTCAGTTCTACCTGAAGTGTGGTTCACAGACCAGCAGTATCAGACCCCTTGGAGCTTGTCAGAAACTCAGCTTCTTGGACCCCCGCCCCAGATCTACTGAATCAGCACCTTTGGAGGTGGGGCTCAGGAATCTTATTTCCCTAGCTCTCAAGGTGGTTCTGATGCCCACCAAAGTTTAAGAACTCCTGGTATAGGCTATTAAAATGAGAGGAAAATGTAAGCAAAGCAACTCACCTGAATCTACACCTCTTCACATGTGTCTTGAAGCAGAAATGGTGCTTCTCTGTTTCTTCTCAGGCTCAAAGAAATTGAAACAACCTAACCTTACTCAAAATCTGGGGAAGTCTTCACTACTTCCTCCTCTTCCCATTGTCCAGTGGTGCCCTGGCTTGATCCACCCCCAACCGCTCTACTCACACCCAACACCTCATGTTAGAGTCCAGCGGTATCACTGGTCTCACAGAAACCAGCTGGTTACCCAGACTGTCTTCACAGTCATGTGGGGTCTACAACTCAGGGGTCATTTGAGTCCCTGGGTCCTACCAAGCATAGATTCAGGTAATTTTGAAATTGGAAGAGATTCTAAAGGACAGTGTATAACAACAACAACAAAAAAGTTGCATTTTGATTTTACAAAAAATTGAATTTGTTTAATGTACCAGGTATGTATGGCTATTTTTTTTTTTAAATGAGATAAAATTCACATAATTCATCATTTTAATAATTTCAAGGTGTAGAATTCAGTGGTTTTTAGCATATTAATAATGTTGCACAACCATTATCACTATCCAATTCCAGAACATTTCCATCACCTGAAGAAGAACCTCGTACCTGTTAGCAGTTAATTCCGCTTGCCCGCCCTTACCCCCTGGCAACCACGAATCTACTTTCTGTCTCTACGATTTTGCCTATTCTGGACTTTTCACACAAATGGAATCATACAATACGTGGACTTTTGTGTCTGGCTTCTTTTGCTTAACATAATGTTTTGAAGGTTCATTCATGTCGCGGCACGTATCATTACTTTATTCCTTTTTATGAGTGAATAATATTCCATTATATGGACATACAGTACCACATTTTGTTTATCCATTCATCAGTTGATGGACATTTGTGTTGTTTCCATTTTTTGGCTATTATGAATAATGCTGCTATGAACATTCATGTACAAATTTTTATGTTAACATATGTTTTCAGTTGTCGTGGATATATATGTAGGAGTGGAATTGCTTCATCATGTGGTAACTGTATGCTTATATTTTTGAGGAATTGTCAAACTGTTTTCCACAGTGGATGCACCATTTTACATTCTTGCCGGCAATGCGTGAGAGTTCCAATTTCTTTACATCCTTACCACCACTTGTCGTTATTATTATTTTAGCTATGTAGCCATCCTACTGGGTACGAAGTGTATATCATTGCAGTGATTTGCATTTCTCTGATGACTAATGATATAGAGCAACTTTTTTCATGTGCCTATTGGCCATTTGTTTATCTTCTTTGGAGAAACGTCTATTCAAGCACTTTGCCCATTTTTAAATTGAGTGTTTGTCTTTTACTGTTATTTTGTAAGAATTCTTTATACAGTCTGTATACTAGACTGCTAACAGATATAAGATTTGCAAATATTTTCCCCATTCTGTGGATTCTTTTTAACTTTCTTGGTAATGCCGTTTGACACACAAAAGTTTTAAATTTTGATAAATATTTTTTCTTCTGTTGCATGTGCCTTTGATGTCATATTTAAGAAACCGTTGCCTAAATCCAAGGTCATGAAGATTTACAATTATGTTCCCCCTTAAGAGTTTTATAGTTTTAGCACTTATATTTGGGTCTTTGATCATTTTGAGTTAATTTTGTGTATGGTGTGAAGTAGGGGCCCAAAATCTCAGGTTAAGCTTGCTCACGATGAGCCATAGGAGCCCTGGTGACAACAGTGGTTAAGCACTTGGCTGCTAACCGAAAAGTTGGTGGTTAGAACCTATCAACTGCTCCGCGGGAGAAAGATGAGGCAGTCTGCTCCTGCAAAGATTACAGCCTTGGAAACCCTATGGGGCAGTTCTACTCTATCGTATAGGGTAGCTATAAGTCAAAATTGACTCGACGGCCGTGGGCAAGATGAGCCACACTTGCTTTCCAAGATTGAGATTGAGCTTGGGGTGGGGGTAGGAGGATATTGAGTAGTATCTGACTCTTAAGCTGGGGTGGGTCAGTCCTCCCTCCACCCTTCCTCCTACTACTCTTAGAAGTGCCTGATGTAGGTGCAGCCCTCGTTATTTATGTGTCACACTAACATTTCAAGATTTCATTTCAACACAAATTTATCTTGACACTAAATTTACAACCCACAAAACAAACAAAGGGCTATTTACTGACAACTTTAAAACTTGGAGGGATGGTACAACCACTTTAGAAAATAGTTTGGCAGGTTCTCAAAAAGTTAAACAAGCACCAACCACATGGCCCAGCCATTCCACTCCCAAGTATTTACCTGAGAGAACCAAAGACAGCGTCCACACAAAAAGGTGTACATGAATGATTATAGCAGCTTTATTTGTAATCGTCCAAAACTGGAAACAGCCCAGGTATATACCACTGGGTGAATGGGTAAACAAACTGTGGAATATCCATATAGTGGAACACTGTTGGTATTATGGGCTGTCAGGTTTAATCCGACTCAAAACAACCTTGTGTACTACAAAACAAAACATTGCCCAGTCCTGTGTCATCCTCACAATCATCGCTATATTTGAGCCCACTGTTGTGGTCACTGTGTCAATCCACCTTGCTGACGGTCTTCTTCTTTTTCACTGACCCTTTACCAAGCATGATGTCCTTCTCAAGGGATTGGTCACTTCGGATAACATGTCCAAAGTACGTGAGACAAAATCTCACCATCCTTGCTTCCAAGGAGCATTCTGGCTGTACTTCTTCCAAGACAGATTTGTTCGTTCTTCTGGGAGTCCATGGTGTATTCAATATTCTTCATCAACACTGTAGTTTAAAGGCATCAATTCTTCTTTGGTCTTCCTTATTCAATGTCCAGCTTTCACATGCATGTAAGGCAATTGAAAATACCATGGCTTGGGTCAGGCGCACCTTAGTCCTCAAAAGTGACATTTTTGCTTTTTAACACTTTAAAGAGGTCTTTTGCAGAAGAGTTGCCCAATGCAATGTGTTGTTTGATTTCTTGACTGCTGCTTCCATGGACATTGATTGTGGATCCAAGTAAAATGAAATCCTTGACAACTTCAGTCTTTTCTCTCTTGATCATAATGTTGCTTACTGGTCCAGCTGTGAGGATTTTTGTTTTCTTTATGTTGAGGTGTAATCCATACTGAAGGCTGTTTAGTCTTTGAACTTCATCCCTAAGTGCTTCAAGTCCTCTTTGCTTTCAGTAAGCAAAGTTGTGTCATCTACATATCACAGATTGTTGATGAGTCTTCCTCCAATCCTGATGCTGTGTTCTTTATATAATTCAGTTTCTCAGATTATTTGCTCAGCATTTAGATTAAATAAGTATGGTGGAAGGATACAACGCCGATGCACACCTTTCCTGATTTTAAATGACACAGTATCCTGTTGTTCTGTTCAAATGGCTGCCTCTTGGTTTATGTACAGGTTCCTCACGAGCACAGTTAAGTGTTCTGTAATTACCATTCTTCATAATGTTATCCATAATTTGTTATGATCCACACAGTCAAATGCCTTTGTATAGTCAATAAAACCAGGTAAACATCTTTCTGGTATTCTCTGCTTTCAGCTAAGTTCCATCTGACATTAGCAATGATATCCCTCATTCCACATCCTCTTCTTTAGCTTGAACTTCTAGAAATTCTCTGTCAATATAGTGCTGCAACCTTTTTTGAATTATCTTCAGCAAAATTTTATAGTTGTGTGATATTAATGATATTGTATGATAATTTCTGCATTCTGTTGGATCGCCTTTCTTTGGAATGGGCACAAATATGGATCTCTTCCAGTCGTTTGGCCGGTTAGCTGTCTTCCAAACTTCTTGGCATATATGAGTGAGCACCTCCAGTGTTGTATCCATTTGTTGAAACATCTCAATTGGTAATCCATCAATTCCTGAAGGCTTGTTTTTCGCCAGTGCCTTCAGTGCAGCTTGGACTTCTTCCTTCAATAGTGTTGTTTTTGATAATACGCTACCTCTTGAAATGGTTGAACGTTGACCAATTCTTTTTGGTACAGTGACTGTGTGTATTTCTTCCATCTTCTTTTGATGCTTTTGGTAATGTTCGATATTTTGCCCATAGAATCCTTCAGTATTGCAACTTGAGGCTTGAATTTTTTTCTTCACTTCTTTCAGCTTGAGAAGTGCCGGGTGTGTTCTTCCCTTTTGGTTCCCTAATTCCAGGTCTTTTTACATTTCATTATAATACATCACTTTGTCTTCTCAAGCTGCCCTTTGAAATCTTTTGTTCAGCTGTTTTACTTCATCATTTCTTCCATTTGCTTTAGCTACTCTGTGTTCAAGTAGAACACTACTTAGCAATATAAACGAATATACACACTGCAACATGGATGAATCTCAGAATAATGATGCTGAGTGACAGAAGCCAAAAAGAGTACATATGATTCTACTTATATAAAATTCTAGAAACTAATCTATAGGGACAGCTGATCACTAGTTGCCTGGGGATGGGGGCTGAAGGATGAATAGATTACCAAGGGGCAGGAGGAAACTTTTGGGGATGATGAAAACATTCACTATCTTGATGGTGGTGATAATTTCATGGGTTTACACATATGTCAAAATAATCAAATTGTACATTTTAAATATATGCAGTTTATTGTCCTTTAATTATAACTTGTGATGGTCAGCTTTATGTGTCAGTTTGGCAGTCTATAGTATCCAGTTGAGGGCAATTATTTAGTGTTAGAATTCTTGCCTTCCACGTGGGAAACCTAGGTTTAATTTCTGGCCAATGCACCTCAAGTGCAGCCACAACTAGCCAGTCAGTGGAGGCTTGCTTGTTACTGTGATGATAAACAGATTTCAGTGGAGCTTCCAGACTAAGACAGACTAGGAAGAAAGGCCTGGTGATCTACTTCTGAAAATCAACCAATGAAAACTCTATGGATCACAATGGTCCAATCCTGTTGTACATGGCATTGCCATGAGTCGAGGGTTGACTCAAAGACAGCTAACAACAACAACAGTATTCAATTAGGAGTCCCTGGGTGGTGCAAATTGTTAAGCACTTGGCTACTAACCCCAAAGGTTGGCAGTTGAAATTCATCCAGAAGCATCTCAGAAGAAAGGCCTGGAAACCTTAGTCTGAAAGATCGCAGCCATTGAAAACCCTATGGAGTGCAG